AAATAACTGATATGTACAGTGTCATCTTTGCTCGGAGAACATTTTTTGTAAAGTATTTACACTATCATAGCAAATTTTGCTGTATTTCTCTTCTATGCTCGCTTGTTCACCTCCTGAAACAACAATAAAAACAATGTCAAATCACTTATCACTACACAGTGTAGAGTGAATATAGCCTTAAAGTAAAGTCCCTATTATAATTATGTTAATATATGCCATGCATAACTATACTACGGACTCGAATTAAGATGTTACCGTGTGACAAACCTGTGCGCGACTTTATTTCTTCAAGTTTCTTTACTATTCCTGTCTTCTTCAATGAAACTTTGGCCTGGAAGCAACAAAACAAAAAAGACAAAACAATCCACTAAGAAAAAGTGAAAGATCTTGAATAATATCGGCATTACAACATGAGCACAGACGAGAACTTCGTCTGAAATTATAATGTGTACAAAACTTTGCTACTAAAGCGAATGAATCGAGGAATTTTCGAGGTATACCACGAGAAAGCATTGCGATAAAGTTACCTTTTGGCAGTTGTGCACCAGAGAGCACAAAGCAGACAAACATAAGGCTCTGAGATAAATGGAGCTGTCAGTGGTAAAATCCACGAGAAGAGAAAGAAGTTTCTCTAAAAACAAACATGAAAAAGAAAGGTTAGTTTAACGACAAATTTTGAAAATACCTTGTGTTCAACAGCTAAACAAAAATCGAAGCAAGGAATTCTTGTTATGGGGGTCCACTGGTTAACCAACACTTTCCACCCTTCCAAGTCGTTACAAATTAGTTTATACTTCGTAGACTCTTGCTGTCATGATATGTGCAGCACGTGTGACATTCACCTCATAAAGGATACTGTTTTGAAACAGTCGTCTCTTGTATCAAGTGTAAAAACACAAGTTTGTTCACCAGTTTACCAAACTCCCAACAGGCCATTGTAGAAAGGCAATGTGCAGCACAAGTTTCATTTTTAAGTCACGAGATTAAAGTTGTTACTACTTCCGCTTGAGGGCAGAGTTTGTTAAGTAACTTTAAAAAGAATCCTCCGGGCTAGCGGTAGTACTTTAATACTCCCGCTATTCCGGAGGACTTAAAATTAGTGACCACACCCCTCCATCCCATCATCGTCCCGGGCGCATTTTAGTCAAATGCGGGAGGGAAAGTGCCCTGATAACGAGGCACAAAAGCCAGGCTGTACATAATTTTTTTCCCGTAGTTTGCAACTTGTCTTCTGTCTTCACTTACCGTTCACCAAAAGAACAGGTTTGCTGGCCCCATGAAAGCACAAATTCCTCAGCACAAGTATGGCCTTCTCTTGTAACTGCTTGTTCTGAGCTCCACTCAGTTCTAAAAGCACCTCCACTACCCCAGAAGTCTTGACCACACCCTGTTGCCCATCTGTGAAGAATGTCACGTTCACCAGTAAGCTGAGCCAACAGAGGGTCACGCTTCGGGACACTGATCTCTGCTTGGGGTGGATGCCACTTGTGAGAGGCTTCAGAGAGGAGAAGGGCTGGAGAAAGTTTGTCTGCAGAGTGTTTGAACAAGATAATTTCTTCAATCAGTAAACGAAGCAATCATTCTTGCCATTAGTCAATGAACTAGCCTGAAAATAAAAACAGCCGACATTTTTGCGGCGCCAGTACTGTTTTCCCCCTAAAATGACGTCTGAGGAACTGCAGAAATTCTACACTGACGACGCGTCACTGCCCATATCTGGGTAGTGCTGCTGATTGGTTGAAGCAAATTTTCAGCCAATAAAATTGCTATTGGGGTGTCCGTTACAGCGAGGTGTCCGCAAAGCGAGAGTTGACTGTATTACTATTTCTATTATTAAAGCAAAAGATTAATGTACGCAGCACGCAAAGGAAAAATACCTGCAAGCACTTAGGTCCATAGAAAGAGAGGCACGCATGTGCGTCCTTAATTGGAACTGAGAATATCCATGCGTCGTGTCATGCGGTGTAAGTAAATATATTTACGTGATATGCCCAACATCCTACCTTCCACATGACTCCTCTGCATTCAGCACTTAAGGCCAAGTTACTCAACAGATTAAACATGGCCCTGAACACAGCAAGATGACTGTCCAGTTCTGGGCTCGAGAAATTTTGAAGCTTGCTGTTTGTTTTATTGGTCAGCTTGATAAGACTGTGCAAAAATGTGCTCCCGCTTTGTACGGTGCGGCTGACGCTTCCTGGAACGCCTGAGCTGCCAGCGATATATGCTGATGCTGCGAAAGAAATAGTAGAGAGTTTTAAGATGCCACGACGGCCACGTCAACTAGAACGTCGAATAATCGCGAGAGCGATTGAAAGAACGCGAATTCACTTGAAAAGGGAAGTCAGCATCAAGAAAACGACAAAAAGCTCACACGATAATTAAAGTATCCGAGAATGATAGTAGTGAAGTACATTAATTTTTCTCTCGCGTTTTTCATGAACGTGGAAGCCCTCACCTTCACACTGTAGACGGCCAGGGTAAAAAAGGCGGGGAAAAATAGTCACGTGGTCAACTCTGCCGTTTGCTGTTTCTGAACTCTCCAGAATAGGCCATTTGCACGATGGCGTCATTTTATTACTACGACCAGAATCCTTTTCGTTTTTCTTTTCATATTTAAATTTGGTAATCCCATTGAGGTATAAATAACAAAAGCCGCAATTTGCACAGGAAAGCAAAACCCTGAAGGATTCTGGTCGTAGTAGTAAATGATGTCATCGTGCAAATGGCCCATTGTAACAATTGTAGTGCGAAGTAAACTGCCACTAGAGACATTAGTTTTACTGAATACGCACCTTTGGGGAATTGTGCTGTCAATGTGGATAAGATACGTAACACCTCGATAAGTAGACGCGGCTCCACCGTGCACCAGGACCATAACTTGTGCAGCACATCAATAATACCACTCTCCAAACAAGCACTCTAGACAGAAAAAAAGGATCATTACATGTTTCTGAGAAACTGCCCACCTACCCCTCCCCTAAGCCAACACTAACACTCTTGCTTACTTAGAGTACTTAGGGCAAAATGTTAGCTTAGGGGAGGGGTAGGTGGGCAGTTTCCCAGAAACGTATACCCAAAAAATCACATAGTAGATGGATGAAATGTTTCCTTAATTTTGTATCCGATCGGGCATTTCCTGTTATACTTTCCATCCTCTTTAACGAAAGAAAGACCCTGAAGGGGCTAATCACGTTAAGTTCCACAATGTCGCGACAAAACTGAGCTGAAATTAAAGCTATAAAGTATCCACAGTCAACTTTTTGTTTCATACTAGGAACCCTAGAGAGAAATTTAACGATTCTTTCAGAAGGAAAACATTCTGGTAATTTTTCCACAGCACAATAGCTGAACTTGAAAAAGCTCAAAGACGCTCACTTGTAGTTTACGTAGATTAACCTTAAAGATAAGAAAGGGAAATTAGATTACCTTAACTGCTGGACTACAATGGATGAAGTTTCTGAGAAGTTGTATGGCGTCCATTAGTTCTGTTACCAAGGGATCTTCCTGCAGAGAATTATCATTACCAAGGAAAACGTTTTAGAAGTTTTAAACCCGAGAAGAAAACTTCCATAACTTTACTTGTCAATTCAACGGTTTGGGATAAAATACGAAAAGATTGATTCCGCGTCGCAGGAATAAATACACAATCCTAGTCTTTTTAGCAGGTTAGCAGAAAAAAAAGTGTACAGGAAAAAGTGAGTCAACGCGCGTGCTCTCCTACCTTCCTTTTCCATGAATGCCCTTTTTCAAGCTGCAGTGAGTTCATGTTTAGCTGGACATGAACGTGTTTTATGTGCTCCAACAAGGTTTCAACAAAACCAGCTGAAGAAAAATTAACACTGAAATTCATCAGTGTTCAAAATACAGCGGAAACAGAGGCATAAAAGGGAGCGGTCAAAATACGGTTAAATTATTCTCCCAGGTAAAAAATATCGCATCCAGCAGATTTCTTTAATGCTAGCGATTTTAGTATACACAAGCTTCTCTGTGTAGACTCTTTGGTTGGAAAGTCGCAAACTAATAAATAATAGATAACGAAAGAAATCACTATGACCACGAGGAAAAGGTCGGGTTTTTGAGGAGCGCCACCATGCTCCCTGGCTCAGAACGAGTAGTTTAATTAGCTAACAAAACAATAGATTAATGACCCAAACAATGTCCATATCCCTAAAAACAGTCACAGGTATTTTTTCATAAAGTAAACTCACATTTCTGTAGTTTTCAGTCACCACAGTTTGTGATTTGTCAGCCAATTAGAACTGAGCAATTCTGAAGCCAGTTGCGACATGTACGCACGCGTTTCTTACCCTTGACGCGGCAAGTATTTTACTTTCTGATTCTGATTGCTTATTGGACGAGCCTACGTCTCTTATGATTGGTTTACGTTTTATGGTACTTTCTCTTTCAACACTGAATTTTGTCTCCGCTGACTCCCTACTATCCCTTCTCAGCGACCAAACCTTCAACCCTCAGTTCAAGCTGAGGTGGTAAAGTCTTGAACTACTGGAGCACGCGCTCAGTTATATGCTCGACAAAAAAAAATTCGCGCCCCTTTTTGATCTCAACTCATACCCACCTTGTAAAGCTGTATCTTTGGCTGAGTTGCTAAGAGCCAATAAAGAGCTGAGAACTGCAGGCACCAGGCCTCTCTCTTCATCCGGGACCTCTACGCTCCGCGATTGCGCACGTTCATAAACATCAAGCAAAACTCTACACATTTCACTTCCGGTAGACTCAGCACATGCATTGCTTTCACCATCAAAGACGTTTTGCTTTTCGCTGTCTTTAACTGAGTCCAGTTGATGTACTCGAGCACTTTCTATCTTGTTATCCAGTAGGTGAGTCAAACGATTCATTTTTGCTGGTTTATCGCCTCTTTCTTCACTCAAGCCTCTCCCGTTAGTGCAGCGTTTGCCCTCCACAGTTAGAAGAAGACCAAGGAGCTTCAGCAGTAAATTTCTTAGGGAGGAGGGGGAGGGGGATTTGCTTTCTTTAAGGGAGCTTTTGAATACACCTGAAGAGTAGATCAAAGCGAGAAATCTCGGGTTATTGTCATCAAAAAAGTTGTTCCCACATTCATGTGTAAGAGTTTGGTTTTGCGCAAGAAAGAGGGAAGTGACCCTTTTCTCAACACCGCCCTCGGGAAGTGAGGTCGTGTACACAGACACAAGAAGACTATAAAATGTTAATTCATGCAGACCATTCGGCTTAAGTCAGCGTGACCCCTCATCACAACTATCACTCCGACTTGGAAAGTTTATTGCAGTTGCAAAGGCTATTTGTTACTAATTTAAAGATCATTATCACAATCTACCTGTGAATAAACTCCAGTTGCTAAATACTGTCTCTTCAACCACGCTAGGAACAGACAGCTGGCCTTGCTTCTGCAGCAGTGTAACCAGGAGCCTGCATACGCTCTCCCATGCAGCGTAAACGAGGTTTTGAAGAGGGTCATCTGTGAATGATCAGTAACACTGATAAGTCTCTTCAAACTTTTAAAAAGGCATTATTAGAAATCGACTCAGGGCGCAGGGATTGTAGTCCATATCACTACACCATGGCGGATGTTCTGGCCAGAACGTTTCTGATTTACAGATTTATAGTGACAACCCCAACAACCATCTCAAGTCAGTGCCTAATCTCTTTAGTCAATGCCCTAATCAATATTTTCAGTGCTTTTGTGTTTTCTCGCGGCTTCGCCGCTCGTTTCTTCGGCCTTCGGCCGAAGACGTGTCGGCCTGTGGCCGACGAAGCTCCTCGTCGCACCCTAATCACTGCGGTCCACTGCGGTCACTCCTTGATAAGGAATAAGGAATTACTTTATGTAGGCACCACAACTGTAAAGTACCCATCGTCACTCTGGTGGATAGAATCGGGGGTTATGTGGCAAGTTTCTAAGAATCTTAAAATGTTCCCAATTAAGCATTAGATACCTAGCTTCTTATTGTGACACTTAAAGAAGTGACGTACATTAGGAGGGGCTAACCTGCGCAAGGGCAAGATATTGAAAATAACTGCACAATCCTGTCAAGAGCTTCCTGGTCTTGCAACAAATTGAAACAGAAGATAGTATTCAGTTGCACAACAGAGTGAAGGAACGCCAAAATATCGCTGTACATAGAGAGTATTTCCTTGATAACCACTCTGGCTGCAGTGGACAGAGGCAAGGAGTCTTTATCACTGAGGAAGCTTTGCACTCTTGAGCATTCAATATGGCTGTGGACAAAAAAAGAAACGTTTAATGGTAAAAGACTACAAAACAGGACCATATTAATCCATACCTGGGGAGAGGTAGTCGTCGGCATCCTGTCTCTTGCCACGTGGAGATAGCCGCCTCAAAAAGTTTTAAGTTAGTGCTGTTTGTGTGCATGAATGTATTTTTTCAATCTAATACTGAAAGACTATTCCAGGAGAAAGATGGTTATTGACAAGGTATGGTGATGAGTATGTTGATAATGACGATGATGTTAGTGTTGATGATGATGATGATAATGAGGCCGATGACGTCATTGATAATGAAGTTGACAACATTTTAGATAATAATTCAGTTGATGCAGGAGCTCCTGTTTGTTGCTGTTGCTTCTGCTGCTGCTGACGATGATGGTGACAATGTTGTTGATGACTCCTATTAATCTTATCATTGCACTTGCTGATAAGTTCTCGAACCTCTTGATAAACTGACTGAAAACATTCCTTCCCCGGTCTAACAAGGTACATGTATCTTTACCCCAAATTTTCTCGCCCTTCGATAAAATCGCGAGTCCGGTGTATTTCTCCTTCAAATACTTACTCAATTAGCAAGTTCAGAATCTCAGCCTTGTTAAGAGCTGTAATAATATGCCCAGGAGACAGGAAAACTAAGTTGTGCAACAGGCGCGCCATTGTACCAATAAGTCCTGGGGTGACTGAGGATCCTGTATACACTGATGTATTTTCTGATGTTGCCGTGGAACGTGCTGAACTACTCACATTGCTGCTGCTTGCACTGGACATACTGAAACCAACAGAACAGATCTGATCAGGTATAACTACAATCATGGACAAAAGTCTTGGTACACATTTGCATTTGTGAGGCTTTTTTCCAAATTACACATGCCCAACTCCCCCACCCCAAAAACAACGTTGGAAGCGTGTGTCCACATTCTTAAAGTTGTCTTCTGTTGGAATTAACCATCCTCAGGGCTTTGGCTTGTGAAACAAAAAAAAAATATCATAGAGCACACCTGTGTCTTTAGAGGCGTGCATTTCTTTACTCTTAACAACTTTTTGGGTCGTGATTTGATTCAAATAAACTAATCATCTCATGTTCAAAAGTAAAGGGAGAAAGGAAGGCTGACTTGTTTTTGCTGAAACGACTCGATGAAAATCTGTGCTTACAGTTGATTTAGATCTATAAAGAGAACAGTGCTAAGAGGCAGACGTTAAGCAAATCTAAAAATACTTTACGTCTCCGTTCTAAAAAAAAAGACCTTTAACATTCTTAGAAAGGGGCCCAACGAGCCAATTCGTGGAATAAATCCTGTTTAAGCCAGCCTGGGAGTCGCAAAGTACGCAAGAACATACCCACTTGGAAGACCTCTTTCATTAATTAGTGGCACTAGTGAAGTGGGTGTCCTTGAGAGCTGTGTTTCCGGTGCGGATGACGACACCCCTGACAGCAGGGTACTAGAGGTGTGAGAAGCAACAGAGACGACTCCTGGGCTAACTTTGCCATTAGCTGATTCAGTGGTAGTTGTTTGGGCCTCCGAGCTCACACTGCCAGGCTGTGATTGGGATCGGGACGTTGAACTAAGGGGCTTGTAAGGAATGTCTGTATCGGTGCTTGATGAGACGGATGCTGTAGCAGAGCTCTGGCAGGCCCTGTTTGTTCCATGTGAGTCCGTCAATGGAAAAGTACCGATAGAGAGCATGTTGAAGAGCTTCTGGAAAAACTTGAATTGATCAAGTAAGGAGAGAACAACTTGAGTTCCCTTGGAGCCATTCTAAAAACAAAACAAAGAACACGCCTTACTATCAAGGGGGTTCATACAAACGTGGGGAAAATACTAACCAGGGTTCGTACTCTTTTGAGCGACTTTCCGCGACTTTTTCCATGACCTTAGTTTCTAGCTGTCACTTTTGAAAATTTTCAAAACTATTCTTGTTTTTGGTGATATTTTTTACCATCAGATGTAATTCAGTTCAACAGACACAGGCTCTGGTGTCCACCATGATGGCTTCATTCGCGACATTTAATTGCGTGTCTCTATCTTTCTTTGTCTTTGCTTTGACATCTGCAAAAAATAATCTACCAAACAATTTTCCATGACTTTCCAGGCCTGGAAAGTCATGAAATTTAAGAATTTCATTTTCCATGACATGTACGAACCCTGTTAAGCTATTTGTAGCGCGATAACTTGGTCAATTAAGGATTTATCAAAGAGCCAACAAAACGAATTCATCAAGAGGAAATCCGTCTCTACAACGACTGGCAATTACAGTCAAGGCAGGTCATGCGTACCCCCCAGGATTCTATTCATGAACTGATTATTTGAAAAATGAATCCGTTAGTCGTTTCCAAAACTAGTGTCAACTTCAAATCGGCATTCCTGCATGCGTAGTGAGCAGTGAATATTTTACGAGAACTTCTCTGTATTTGATCAGATTGAAAATCTTTGAATGGATTAAATTTCTTAGAAGACATTTGCATCAGATTCAGGAAAACTGACAGCTGAACTGAGCAGGTAGAAATTTCGTAACTGACTCGCGTGTGAATTCACGGCTCATTACACATGCAAGAATACCGAGATGAATCTGAAATCTACAACTGCCAACGGATTCAACTTTCGAATAATAAATTCATTACAGAAATCTTGGAGGGTACGCTTGACCTGGCTTGACTGTAAAATAGGTCTTTACCTTGGGTTGGTCTAGTTGTTTAGACTCAGTGACAGCATTTGCAGGCGACAGACCACTGACCAAACTGCAAAACAGTAGGCCTGCCTAAATAGCAAAGAAAACAATTCATGCACACTTGAACAACAACTAAAAGCCTGTAAGTAAATAAATATTAAAAAGACAGAAAAGTTGACCATAAATCTAGGGTAATGTAATTTATTCACCCAAACGGCTTAAAATCGGACTCTAGACAAATATTTAATTTTGGAGCGAAGGTGATAACTCAAGAACAAAGTAGTCTACTTCTAAGAAAGCTTCGCAGACGTTACTAACCCAGGTTAAATTACTTCTACGACGCAGAAGGCTAGGTCATAGCTGGTGAAAGAAAGAATTGGAATACTTCAACAAATCAAACCAACCTGTTGTCTAACAAGACCACATTCCATTTCATCCAACAGAATGGTAAGAACAAAGTTCCATAAGCCCCCTACAAATTTCTGCCCAGCAACTTTAAGTACTTCTCTCCCTTGCTCACTGACTGCAAGGCTTGTACAAATAGAAAGGCCAGTCCAACGAATATCTGGCCATCGGTCTGTTAACAAAGGTACAAGCCAAGAAAGTGGCTGTTCTTGAGGGTCTTGAGTTCTTAACCAATGTGAAACCCACCTCTATGAAAAAAAAAACAGTAAGTAATTTGTTATACCTACCGCCATTTTAATCTACTTCTTCAAATAGTTACTCAAACCTACAGTCTCAGACAAAATTATGTTTTTAACTTCTGGCCCGTGTCCTCGTCCTGCCAATGTTGGTTATCGCAGTTAACTCACCACATCTTACACACCAACATTGGTTGGGGGAGGGGGGGATGGGGGGCAAGAAGACAGCAAAGTGTCTCATTAATTTTGACTGAGACTGTAGTAACTCAAACAATGACTTACTTGTGTGGGATCAATGACAGCCATCTCATGAGTGAGGTGAGCCAAACATAGACTGGAATAATATGTAACACCTTTACCCATAAAAGATGAACTGGCACCAAGTCTGCCAGCATGGAAAGCTAAAACGACCTGGGGAAGATAACAGAAGAGTCAAACCAAATCGTATTGGTTGATTGGCCTTAAAGATCACAGAAGAAAAGGATTTCAACTGTTAATTGAATTGAATACCTCAAAGCAGGGCTACTAGGATTGTTTGTTTTGTTTGCAGTTGAATTATGATGGTCTTGATGGTGATGATGATGATCAGTTCAGTTCAGTTTATTGTTTTGCCATAAAGATATACAAAACAAGAAGTTCTAAATATTTAAAAGCTAATGGCAAGGAAGCCCATGGAAAACCAATGGGCTTATAAGGAAAGAGCTCCCTCAATTAAATATTACAACAACTACTACAATCATGATGATGATGATGATGATGATCAAAATCACGATCTCTATCTGTGGTTATTTAACAAATGCTTATTTACGATTGACTTGAACATTGCTTTACTTGAAACACTTGCCTGTATCAATGAGGACATAAGTTGCAGACAAAGGCTCATCCCTTGAGAGTATTTAGAATAGGAACTCCAGTGAGGCTGGGCAGTGACATGTACTAAGCAGACTAGCGAGGTCTCAAGCACCGGAAGATCATAAAACTGTGGGTTATCTGCTAGATCAAGATTCAGGGCCAGTGCATAAGCTAAGTCTCCTATGAAAATTCGTTCTTTATCCAACCTCCAGCCTTTGGTGTGCTGAGACAGACACTTAACCAAAGTCACCAGGAAAGAGAGCAGATGTTTACGCAGTGCTCTGCAAATAAAATTTGGTGCACATGAGTATAACACTTTAAGCGTTCAAGGCAATGCCAAATCAGTTTTACTGGCCAGTGTGGAACTAGTCTCTGATTTTTGGAACCCAGGTTGTTTTTCTCATGTCATAGGCAAAAGCCAAGCTTTGACACAGTGGTACGTTCCTTGAGGTGGACGTCACTACTTTTATGACACTCAGAGCATTACACCTGATCATTCCTAGCTAATGCCATCCCTATAAAAATGTATTTGTTAATTTGTAAAACACTTCATAAGGAGGCTCCACGCGCGCGCGAAGCTCCTTGGCTGGGAAAATTTGGTTATCTATCCACCTGAAAAATTTTGGTGTTCACGTGACACACGTCCGTCTGTCTGCACCACGGGACAATCAATGTGAAATCTCACACTTTCTAGCTAGTGTGGGAGCCTGCAACCTGACATTGCACATCCATGTTGTGGTCAACCGACAGCTGTCAAAACAGGGTATCCGCTGACCGGTATCACATGACCATATTGCGGGTTCAGGTGTCGACCCATTGAGGTTGCGTGTTTTTTTTGAAGTTATCCGCTGAAGAGATGCTAGTTTTCAACTGATCGCAGGCTCAACTCCAAGTGGATTTCTTTGCAATGGTTACAAGTTTATTGTTTGAAGTTAATTAGAAATTCATTAACGGGAGCTTCGCCTTTGGCCTTGGCTAAACCTGTATATAGAGGTTCTACTCGACTAACTAGCAACCATGACAACAAATGGAGTACTGTACTTTTTTGACTCGGAGACAGTGTGTGAGTTTGCACCACTTGCTTGAACATTTCGCAGTAGAGTCATCTGTGGTCCATCTTTATGTAATACAGTTCTTGCTACCCAGGCCACCACAGGCTCTGGAGGCTGATGAGGACTGGAAAGGATAATATCTAACACATGGAGCAGTTCTATCAGCAGACTGTCATCATCTCCGCTGTTTGGCACTACCTGAAGGTATCTGTATAGTCAAAAGGACAACTATTCCTTTGAGACATTATACACTACAGGTCCCGGTTGTTCAAACGTTAGATAGCACTATCCACCAGGCCCCGGTTGTTCAAAAGGTGGATAGCGCTTTCCATCGGATAAATGTCTATCCACTGGATAGCGCAATTGGTTTCCCTAATACTTATCCGCTGGATAGTGCAATTGGTTTCAATACAATACAATACAATAACTTTATTTAAAGAGGGAAGCGCAATAACCTATTACACTTTTCTAACCTAAGGCCCTCATAATAATCCCTAATACTTATCCAGTAGATTGTGATTTATCCAATGGATAGCGCTACCCGACTTTTGAACAACCGGGGCCAGATAAATCACTATCCATTGGATAAGTATTAGGGAAAACAATTGCACTATCCACTGGATAGAGATTTATCCGGTGGATAGCGTTATCCACCTTTTGAACAACTAGGTCCAGAAGAGCAAATTTGGTGAGACAAAAATTGCAAAATGAATCATTGTAGGATCTCAATATTATTATACTGTGCACAGGGATGTGCTCTAGCAGCACCTGGGGGCCCCTGGTACCTAGCTTTTGCTCTTGAGCAAGACAGGTCAATTTAGGTTTCTCAGAAACTACCCACCTACCCCTACCCTAAGCTAACATTAACACTTACTTCTCACTTAGGGCAAAATGATGGCTTAGGGGACGAGTAGGTGCACAGTTTCCCAGAAACCTAAAATGATCCAACAAGACTAGGAAATCTCAGCTTTGTGAAGAATAGGTTCCCCAGAATTTTTCTTGGGCACAGCGTTGGTGCAGCTCAGAATATGTGGTAAAAGGTAAGTCTTATCACTTTTTGCAGAATACAATGCTTAATCCAGATGCTAAGAGTTGACGCTTCAAATAAATAGCACAACGTTTTCCAGACACAAAGTCAAAAGTAAACATAAAACCATTTCTACGTAGACGATACTTCCCTAATGTAAAGGTGGACCCCACTAAAGAAATGATGGTCGGCACTTTTGTGCAAAAAATACGGTTAATGGCAGATGTTAACAGCTCAAATGTGTGCAAACAAGATCGCCTACAGTTTAAATAACTACTTTACATCATTTACGAACAGGTACAGTTTAAAGAGAAGATGTTGCTGTAAACAGAACAGGGCAAACATGCGTAATAAAGACATAAACTTGAGTTCCGGCCCTTGACATCAAAACAATTTTCTTTCACTTTTGATGCAACAAACGTTTTGTTTCAAGTTACACCATTCACTTCTCCATGACTCGGTCACCTTACCTGAGGGTTAACAAATATGTTTCTCTATAGGATATACCTTTCAAATGCTGCTTCCCACTTCAACGTGTAGAAGGCCTCCACCGAAAGCCTTTGGTATACACCAGGCTTTGCTCCTTTATCAGCTAGTAGGTGTGCCATAATTTTACTGAGAGCTACTTTTGCATCATAATGAGAGCTCGCATTCTCCATACATTGCAGCTGATTACTCAGTGCAATGGCAACATGGCTACAATTGAGCAAATCTGCATCAAGATTCCTCCACTCCAATACTGGCCAGTACCTACAAGGTTCATGTGGATGTTGTAGTGTAATTTTGTAGTTAGTCTAAAATTTATTTTCCTTTGTTTTGGCATATGAGTTTAAACAAAGGAAAAAAAAAGTGAAGAATACGGATATCTATCATGCAAATTGTACTTGCAGCTCCATGTCATCCTCTATTGAAGGTTCATATCAGTTTGCAAAATGTCGGTGTTTGGTGAATTTGAATCCTTGTTTTCCAAAGGAGGCTAAGAAATGAAGATTACGTCTTCCATAAAACACCTTTCCTTTAAGAGAAAAAGGTATGTACATTAATTGCACTACATTATCAAGATGTCTGATGCTGTTTAAATGTTACTAAAACTTATTGATTCAAAAGCTGCAGATATTCTGTATCCTCACCCCACATTTCTGTCTGACTGCCTTTTGTCCGCCACACCTTTTACTCTAGACAGGTTCTCAATATTTTCATGCCAACCTAGGTTCCAGGCCACCCTTAGCCTGGAAACAGCTGGTTCTGAAGTGAGCGAGTCTTTAAGCTGGAAGTCTGGTACTTGATGAACACTGACAGGGGTGTGGACAGGTGGAGCAAACGGGAACTGATATCTGTGGAGCAGATGCAAAGTAGTTAGCTCTAAAAAACACCCACATTGCCCAAAAAAAAGGTACAAAATGAACAGTTTGCTTGCAAATAACAAATTTAGTAAGCTAAACATTTGACTCCCAGAATTATAGAGAGGTGGTATGTAGGTCTGTAGACTAAATTCTACGCAGGAGCAGTTGTAAAGGTAAAATAATTCACTGACCAAATAAAGCTTTTCAGGGAACAATTTTGTTTTAGAACAATGGTTACACACTTGTAAATGTTTTATCAAATTGACTCCTGAATACTGTAGTAGACATTACTTCCCAAGTGTTGTACCTTGTATAATAAAAGCACTCGCATGGCCACCACGTTTGCTCAACTCCTATTCTGATGGTGTGTTCAATCTTACAACCAAACATGGAAAACAGCTCTTCCACCAGGATGGTCAAGCCGCCAAAATTGTCTACACTTTATTTTTTGGTGAAGGATCTATAGATAATGCTTTCAAAAGTATAGCCATGGCACTCTATTAAACGGCATCAGATAACCCAAAGCAAATTCATGCTACATTCAGACAAAACTTTGTCATTTGTGGTGCACACCTCCCACAAACTTAACATCAGGCCTCAGTTGTCCAAAATGTGCATAAAGTTATCCGCTGGATAAACCACACTCCACTGTACATTAAATGCAGTTGGTTAACCGTTTCCTTAATACTTATCTGGTGGATAGCGCTGTCTAGCATTTGAGCAAGCGAAGCCTGAGACCTACCTTCTCACTAAAGACTTTGGCAAACTGAAAGGAATGCTGTTAACTTTGTCAGGCAATGCCATAGCAACTTCATCAAAGAGCAGGAGAACCATCAGGCAAGCAGCCTCATACCTAACTTGACCACTGGACTGGCATAAGAGAGCACACCTAAAACAAGAAGATGATATGAGCCTTTTGTCCGTACAAATCAGTATTTATCATAGATTTAACTACAAAAAACATATTACTGTAACCTAGTTGATCATTGATTCATTTTTAAAGTAAATGTATGTACCCTTATGTTATCATCATTATTACCACCAAATTACTCCTTAATTTTGGCGTGAAGTTTCAGCGTTAATTTGTAATTTCACATGTGAAATTACAAAATTGCCATGGCAACCTTCCGTACGTCTCAGGGTCAAGATGGCAACGAAGTTTTAAAATGTCATGAATGAAGACGTCAGGGCAAAAAAGACGCTTTAGAAAACCTGAACACACGAAGGGGCAAATCAAGAAGGATTCTAACAGGTATTTTGTCGAAAAACTCTGAACTTAAGCCAAATTTAAGCTCTAAACGTTTGAGAGAGTGCAGGAGTTCTCGATCGATATGATCCAGGAAAACATGTCAAAAATCCAAGATTGCTAACGTAATTCGTCACCCATGATATTAATAGGTAACCAAATGGTATACTCGTGAAATTAGGGAATAATTTGTAATTTGTAATTGTAATTTCCTTCGCCTAAAGGGTTGGGAAATTATAAGGATTTGGACAAAACGCGCGAGAAATTACTCCCTAATTTCACTCGTCACCATTTGATTACACGTACTAATTCACATTTCCTTTGAATCTATGGTTTCAGTGGGATAGGGTACACCTGTATGTGGGTAGGAGAGGCAATTCCTGAATTAAGGTTTATGATCTCAGTCACCCAGCCTCCACTTGTGATGAAGGCATATTGACATTAAAGGTTTCAGCAACAATTAACAGCAGACATCAACAAACAGTATAATGCAGGACTAACAAAAACACTTGCTATAAATAGCATTTTCAGCCCAAGTAACTTATCTATATAATCATATATTCCATCTCTAGTGGTATTGTAAGTATATATGTTAGTAACTTGGGTGTTCCACTAGTTCTGAAAAGATAATAAAATTAATTTCAGTGGCAGGTTAACCTTGTAACAAGAGTATGAAGTATCTTATGTGCCAAAAGGAAACACTGTACAGTTGTCTCAGATCAAGAGCTTAGAAAAGAAGATACAAGGTAGGGTGCAGTTGAGGAGTGAAGTCATAAGCCCAAGCTCTTTGGAAAACTAGCTAAGGATGCACTGAGTTTAAAGGCTAAGTGGTTTAATTTTAGATTGGCTTTCATGACCTGAAAATGTAAAAAAGTCTTCTTTATTGCCACTGTAAGTACACTTTTCCCAATGCTTTGATAGTTGCTTAAAAAATCACCAAGCAACCAACTGCTTACATGTACCTTGTAACTAAAGTATATGTGGAGTACTTTGTGGCCAGCCTGTGCCTACAGGAAGCATTGTACTCTGCCAGCAGTCGTAGGATGGTCAAACAAGGAGGTACAAGCTCCACCCTGGGGTAGGGTGTGGTTGAAGAGTGTAGTGGGCCATCTTGTTCCATTATTTCTGAAAGGATGGCTATGCACACTTCATCTGTGTGTTCCTTCAGCAGAGGTTCGTGCCACTGTGGGTCTAAAAAAATGCAAGTCACAAAAAAGACTGAAGCAGAGTACTACTGAACATTGCAGGGAAGGAGAGAATATGATATAATACTACAAATACAATACTACAATGCTAAAAATTCTCAGACTTTTTGAGACTACAAATTATTTTTTCAAATTTCAATTACAACGTTAAAAATGAGCTTTCATACAGTTAAGGAGAGAATATGATTTTTTTCCTGCATGGAGCACACATCCTCAGGCACAAATTTTTGAAAGGAAATGATGCAGTTTATCAGACAGGCACGCTGGTTCTTGTGATATGGTAGTTTTATGCATTTAATAAAAAATATGTATAGATCTACATTCATTATTTGCAAGTCATCAAATAAGGCATTTATTTTTTTGACTCCTTAATCTCCTAATTTAAGTCATCAAATTTCATTTCCTGACAGGCAATAAGAGGGGTGCTAGTTTTGCTTAAAATTGACAGCACTAGCTGAATCATGCTTACAGTCACCCTTCATAATGATTGCAGTACAAACCTTTAAGAGATAACAGATGATTTTAGTAACCATTTATCACTCACTATGGTGATGCTGTGAATATTGCAACATTGCTGCTCTTCATTTTCATTAAATCTTTGATACCTTGTAAAATAATGGCTAGCTGCTGAGCCGAAGACTTCCTTAATGCCACATCTAGGGGTGAAGAAGCCAATATGGACTGTAGGTTAAGAACTTCACTTGTCTCCACACTTGTATGTGATACAGGAACATGTGCATTTACAGCAGAGGTAATCTGATCTACCATAAATAAGTCTGCAGCTTTCTCTGCATGGATTCCATGAACCAAGCTCTTTCTTTTTTCACGACTTGCTTCATTTGTGAGACTCCATACAACTGATTCAAAGCCTTTGGTCCGTAGCTTAGAGTCAGTGACAAACATGAGTCGCAGTGCTCCTCTCAGCCTGTCTAGTGCTGGTAAAGTTACTATGTCTCCTTCAGCAGATACATGTCCTCCAGTAACACCAAGTGTAGCTACAAGCTCCAGTATACATTGGTCCAGCCCAGGATCTATAAGAACACAACCTTGAAGCTGAGGTAGAGATGCAACCAACCCATCTAGTAACTTCTTCCAAAGTTCTCCACTCATGCTTAGACGGCCAAGTAGCAGAGTAGTGATGAGCTCTAAAGCTGAATCACTGATCTGTGAAAAGCAGAATTTAAAGTAAGTGTAACGCTTCAGCAAAATTTACATAATGATCGGAAACTTTATTCAAACCTGATGAGATGATCACGATAGCAATCGTGATGATCACAACTACCATGTGCTGGTAATAGCCTTGATGTAAATACAATTGTACAGCTGAAGCAATACCATGATCATGATTAATTTAGCTCAGAGCGATCAAGATTCTCACAACAGCAACAATGTTTATTTGTACTGAAGGCCCATGGTTAACAAGACGACTCTGATCTCAGTGCACTGATAGTGATCACTTTCAAAAAAACAGAACAGCTTGAAGAGATAAGCTACATTGTAGGTGCAAAACACATGCATGTAGCATGGCAACTGAAATTAACAAGCTGGTCATTGGAGACAGTGACCGTGATCATGATGTGAAGGGAGTGCAATAAGGCTGGTAAGGGTTGAAATTGCCACATTTGTGATAGATGGTGATCCGGGTAGAAAAATTTATGGCAGTCATACCAACATGATCATGGACAATGTTTGAAATGCCTAATCAAGTTCACAATCAAAGGTCAAAATCACAATGTGCTGATAGGCTGGTGTTCAGTGGTGTTTCAGTAGCAAATGATCAGTGACAAGTAGGTGGTAACAACAGTGACAATTTTGTAAGCCAGGGGGTCTATAACTGTTTGAGCTACCTTGATTCATGAAAAAGACCTGGCCAGAGAATAAGCCATATGTACTGTACACATCAGGTAGTTTCGAAAACGAAGCACTCGAAAACGAAGACCGAAGCACGAAGCACCCAAAACTCGAAAACGAAGCACCCAAATCTCGAAAACGAAGCACCCTAGATCGAAAACGAAGCACCCTA